TTCCTGAACTCATCATTCCTGAACAACATTCTAAATTTTGCCTCTGCCACTAAAGCTTCTCCAACCAAATCACTAATGATTTCTATTTGCCAAATTTATTGAACATTTTTAAGTTATTTTGTCACATCTACGCATTTAACATATCACACTCTTGAAACTCTGTTACCTTGGTTTTCTTGACACCATCCTCTCCTAATTTTACTTATACCATTCTTTCAGTTTCCTTCATGGTCTTCTACCTACCTCCTTAATATCAGTCCTACTCATGGTTTCATCTTTAACCCAGTTTTTTTGGAACCACTTTTCTCACCGGTACTTCAGATTTGTAAATTCAGTCCCCTACTGGACATTTCAACTTGGATGACTTACAGATATCTCAGATTCTCCCAAACTGAGTATCCTTGCTGCTCTCTCTGCTGCTTCAGTTGGTGGTATCACCATCTGTCCACTCTCCCAGGTTCATGAACTTGGAGTTACACTGTTTTGGTAGCTACAAGTCACGTGGCAGTTTGAATTCAAATTAAATATAATTAAAAATTTAGTTTTACATTTGTGCTAGCTATACTTCAAGTGCAGGGTAGCCACATGTGGATTCCGAATTGGTTAGAGTATTCCCATCATTATAGAAAGCTCTCTTGGACAATGCTGTCTTAGAGTCTTTCTTGACTCTGTGTTTTTTTTACTTTCCAAGTTACATGAGTCTACAGGTAACAGTTGTTAAATACGTTCCCTGCACTCAGTGCCTATTCTTCTAATTTAAGATACTTCCATATTTTGTGTGAACTGTTGCAAAGGGTTCAAACTATCTTTCTGCTCCTAATTTGGAGAGGACATAAAGGTTAGACATTTCATTTCCTATTTTGAGTCATGGTCTAATGAAAGAGAACGTATTCTGACTTGGTAAGATTTTTATTTTTCTTATAAAAATCTCCATTTAAGGCCAGGCATGGTGGCTCACGCCTGTAATCTCAAAACCTTGGGAGGCCAAGGTGGGCAGATCACCTGAGGCCAGGAGTTCGTGGCCAGCCTGGCCAACATGGCAAAACCTCTGACTGCTGAAAACACAAAAATCAGCCAGGTGTGGTAGCGTGCACCTGTAATCCCAGCTACTCAGCAGGCTGAGGCACAGGAATCACTTGAACCCAGGAGGGGGAGGTTGCAGTGAGCCGAGATTTTGCTGCTGCACTCCAGCCTGGATAACAGAATGAGATTCTGCCAAGAAAAAAAAAAAAGACAAAAATCTCCAGTTAGTTAGTTTAAACATAAGTTTTGTTTAATAGGGTTTTAAAGATAGACCTTTGAAAGAAGGTACACTAAAATACTGAAAAAAGTAATGAATGGCTTAAATGAGTTTAATTATCTTGAAATGATTTTAACTTTTTAAAAATTTAAAACATCATAAAATTTTAACCATTAAAAATACTGATATTAAACAAATAGAAAATTTGTGTCTTGTGTAAATATACAGTTTAACCTTATTATTTCAGACGACTGTATATCAATCACATCCTTTGTTCAGTGTGAAATCTGGCACAGTAGTGTAAATGCTGTACCAACAGTCTGAAATTATTGTATATGTGAAAAGAGAGCTATCAGGAAAATATTTTAAAAGCCATTTGGGTTACCTTTTGTCAAAAATGACCTGGAACTGTGCTTAACTAAGTATGTAGTGTTCTTTGCTTTGTAAAACTAAGAAATTTCAGCATGCCATATTAATCTTTTAAAAATGTTTCTGACTTTATGCTATTGCTTTGTTGGATATATTTATTTTCAGTGACGGTCACATTTTATATGAATTCTTGTTTTAAGCTTCTGGGAGCCAATGGAAATGCAAACATCAACTCAAAACTTCGTTTGCAGCTGTATTACCCACCTACTAAGCCTCGATCCCAATTAAATGTTGTTGAGGTGTTTGAATGGTGGTCAAAATGTCCAAGAAATCATTACCCATCAACACTGTATGTAACTGTAAGAGGACTGAAAGTTCCAGACTGTGTAAGTTAATATAGTACATATAAGTGTATATCTTCTAGTGTTGAAATTAAATGGTGACATAACATGTTTTTCATTTCTAAAAAGATAAGACTTCTAATAATAATTTTAATAGATATCCGGGGTTATATATTAAGACTGTAATAGCTGATATTTAAAAGATGCTTAAATGAATTTTAAATGTGAAATACAGCTTTTAGTATTAAGAAAAATGTTTTGTTACAATTTGATTTTCAGAAATTAAAGATAAAAGGTGGACTTAAAGGAGAAGTTGAAAAATATTTTCTGTAAAGGGCGAGATAGTATTTTAGGCTTTCGCCCTGTAGTTTCGGTTAATTTTGCCTTTATAGTGTGAAAGTAGCTACATAGACATATGTAGGCCGTTAACTAAACAAATGGGTGTGATGTGTTCCAATAAAAGTTTATTTACAAAAGCAGGTAGCAGGCCAAATTTGGTGTGTGGGCTGCAGTTTGCAGAGTCCTGATTTCTGGGTACATTTTTCACAATATTATTCAAATAATCAGTATGTAATGTTTCTACTGCTGCTGTTTTCCATAGATTAATATTATAAATAATCTTAGCAAAGAATTGACCCTAAAATAAAGAAGTTTTGCTTTTGTCTTATTTCTTATAAGACATTAATTTTTCAGGTCATTTGCACATTCTGTAGCTGATATATACTGTCACCACAGGACTGATTTGCATTGGTTTGGATGGAGTTAAATCTATTATTGAGAAATTATTTTTAAAACTTGAGATTTTTATGATACTAGTTTTGTGATTTTAAAGATACGGTATTATATCAGAGCCATGGCATATCTCATAAGTATTGGTGAAGAAGCAGAAACAAAGGGCAGAGTTACTAAAATCATTTCATGTAAATTTGTAGTCATTTTTTTCCTCAAAAACTTTTAAGACTTTTTGGTTATAGGACTGTAGTTTTAAGCAACTTTTTTATTTTATTTAGAATAATGTACAAATAAAAGTAGAATTTTTTTTCTGGATTACATTTTGAAAATATTTTCATATTATTTGTTTCAGTATTTTTAAAACTATATGCTAGTAAAAGAAAAAGGTGAACATGATATATAAATTTTCATATTTTAATGCATATTTAGATAAAGCCATCTTACCGCTCTATGATGGCTCTTCAGGAGGAAAAAGGTAAACCAGTGCATTGTGAACATCACCATGAGTCAAGCTCAATAGACGCAGAACCTGGATTAGAAGAGTCAAAGGAAGTAATAAAGTGGAAAC